GGCTGATTCTTTTATTTTTAGTTTATCAAAGCAGTATATGAATCTAAGTGATAGTGAAACATGAGTTTATTTGGTTATTGTTACACATGCTGCGTTTATTATCTATTACAGTATTACATTTAAAATTTTAATAATTACACTGTTTTGTTAGAGATTGCAATTATTGTTGGATACAAAAAATATCTTTTATTACACTAGTTTTTGGCCTTTATTAGTATGACTGTCATAACAGGCTTGTACATATTTTGAGAACAACTTAAAATTTAAATTATAGAAAATTTTCAGCTTAAAAATTTAATCAGTATTCCTTTTACTAATTTTTTTATAAGCTTGAAAAAAATTATATACGGTACTATAGAAAAATATAATTCTGTAGCGATTTTTAAAATCTATTTTAGAATGTATTAAAGTAATATTTAAACTGCTTTTACATATAATATTTAATAGAATTCTAAAACCAGTTAATATAATTATTATATATCAATATGTAGAAATACAATATAATTCCTTAAGCTCAGGAAACACTAACTAAAACTGCTAAATTTTTAAATATATTAAATAGTTGTGTATTAATAAATTTAGTAACATAAGAACAGTAATAAAAAGTACACCATTTTCAATATCATTTAATGGTGATAAATTTAATTTCCTGTATTATGTAATTCTAAACATACTTCAGCAAAGATTAAATTTTGAAATTTTCAATGTTTTAACTTTAATTATAATGTTATATTAGATCAATTAATGAATTAAGTTTTAAATGAGATTGAATTAGCTACTTGATTTTTATTTCCAATAAAAATAATTTTCAAAAATATTATTTAAAAAATTATATTGCACACTAAGACTAGGAATTGGACTTTAACACTTTATAACACTTTAATACTTTATAACACTTTAATATAAAAATATCTATGGCATGTTTTATTAAAAACAAAAATTATTCCAAAAACAAAGAATGATAAAATAATTTATAAGTATTGAATTTTATTATTTAATTAATTAAAGCCATATCTTTCAAACTAAATAAGTTTTATTTTTATTTTCAGTAAATTTCTTGTATATTCATGCTTATTAATTTTTACATTACTGTTTGCTTTACGTCTTGATGGTGCCATTTCTTGGAGTTATTGGGCAATTTTTTTGCCATTATGGATATGGAAAGCTTTTGTAATATCTGGTGCTAGTACAGGAAGTTATATTTGGTGGCAGCATCCTCAATATAGGTAAGTACATATTTTACAAAATTCTATAAAAATAACTTTATAATTAAAATTTAATGTGAATATTATGTAATATATTATACAATATAAATAATAATCATATTAAATATATTATATAATATATTTTATATGTTGAACACATTCCACTTTTATAAAAAATTTCAAACAACTTTTAAATAAATAATTGCTTATGGAAAACATATCAATATCTTCAAACATGAATACTTTTTGGAATGTAGTATAGCTATAAACGTGAAATTATGTAATATTCTCATCTAATCTTGCTTACATCTTTCATGATGCATGTGATTTGCACTACTATTTTGCATATATCAGTTTATGATATTAACTTCATCCAGTGTTCCCTGAAATTTTTACTAGCTGAGTGAAATGAAGATTTAGCCAGGTGGACAAAAAAAATATTACGCAATATTATAAAATTTTGTTATTCATACATTTCTTCCTTGATGTGCCTCTCCATTTTTTGTATACTTCCTTCTCAGGTTTTTTCTCTCATTATGGTTTTTCTTTCATGGTTATCTTTAGCAATTCATATCCACATTATTTTAACTATCTTTATTCTTTTTTAATTTGAAACTGTTTTTTATCTATGTTTATCTGTATTGCACAATGAAGTGCTTTCAACAGACACCAGACTTTACATCCATCTTTATTCTGCTGTTCAGGTACCAATACGCATTTTGGGCCTTTGCCTCTCTTCTGTTGGCTCTTTGTTATTTCATTCAATATTACATAGTATTCTTTCCACTTTAAAAATGCATAGGACAACTAAAAAGTAGAGTTAACACTAATATTTACATACAAGTTTTTTGATTTGTAGTGTCAAAATAACACTTTACATTCTTAGTTCTTGTTGAACTCTTATGAGCTATGCTTCTACCTTTCTTCCTACACTATCTTCATTTTATTTCATCATTAATTGATTCTTTTTTATTCATCACTTCTTTAATTTTTCACTTTTTATTTTGTGTATGAATATATGTAATCTTATCAATACATTAATTTCAATTGTACTAGCCAATTTTCATTTGTTTATGATATTCTATAGAATTTGGCTCAGTATAATACATAATATACTTTTCACTATGGTGTTATATATATCCAAGTTTTTTGAGATTTTGCATTTTACTAGATTCTATTCAGTCTCTTAAACTGGCTTTCCTTGTTCTTTTTCTGTTTCCTATTGCTCAGTTATCTCTTCCATTTTAGCTTAATTTTATTCTTAATATTTGTAATGGTCACATATTATAAATTCTACATTTTACTTGTATATTATACTATTGTCTACATCCCCTCATATGAATAGTTTTGCTTTTCCCATATTCATTGATAATTCATATACACACATTTAAGTGCATATAGTTATCACCATTTTTTAAGTTGGAATTTACAATTGAATTTCATTACAAGTCCAACTTAAAAATAATGATGATAATTGGCTAAAGTTTTAAATATAATAAACTTACAAATTGTAACCAGTTACTGTGCATATGCACTATAATATAATACAGCAATGGTGTTTAAATGTACTGAATTTCAAATTTATTTTTAATATTTTAATGAATTAATTGGTATTTTTATTAAGAGATTCACAGAAACACAGGTAGTCAATTACATTTAAAAGAACCAAAAATCATACTGAGAGTGTATTGTAATCTTTATATAGACTTAAATAAAAAGAATTTTATTTTCATTCTTATTGATTTCTCTAATCATATTATAAAATTAATGTTAGAATGATTATTTGGATTAAGTTTTCTAGGCTGATTCTTTTATTTTTAGTTTATCAAAGCAGTATATGAATCTAAGTGATAGTGAAACATGAGTTTATTTGGTTATTGTTACACATGCTGTGTTTATTATCTATTACAGTATTACATTTAAAATTTTAATAATTACACTGTTTTGTTAGAGATTGCAATTATTGTTGGATACAAAAAATATCTTTTATTACACTAGTTTTTGGCCTTTATTAGTATGACTGTCATAACTTGAGGACTGAATGCATTTTTTGGTTATATATCATCATATACTATTTTATGCATAATGGTATATGATTCTTTGAAAGTTAAATGTTGATTGATATTGAAAAGCTTCCTAATATAGAAGTAGGTATATGTATTCTTGTGAGTGATCAACATTACATTTTCTTATCAGCCATATTTATCTATGGACATCACAATTATCCTAATTTTTTATTGGCTAAATATGAATTTAACTATAGTGTTAATAATACTGATTGATAAGAAATTTTGAAAAATTAATAGAAATATTTAATAAAATTAATTGATCATAGAAAACAGAAATTAGAATAATAATTGAAATGAATGCTATGTTCTTGAAAATGTCAATTTCAGTATTTTGCAATAGACATCATGAGAATGCATTAGATACTGTAGAATCATAGTATATTATATAAACATTTAAAAAACTTAATAAAGCTAAAGTTTTAAAAATACTGTATGCAGAAAAATGAAATTTTTTGCACATTATTGTCATTTTAACAAATTCTAAAAGAATAAATAATTCTCAAACACTGGTAATACTTTATTAGTGCTTGAAATAAAACATAGTGTTTGATTTTGGACTGAAAAGCCAATGTTCAGAATTCTTCTTTTTAAATATAACGAATTTCTATGAGTTTATATTCTATGAATTTCTATGAGTAAAATATTTTGATTAATAATATATCTCATTACACTTGATTAATATGGTAATTATGTATTATTCAAATGTGTATGATTTTAATTCTATATAATTTATTTATTTATTTATGTATACTTTTGTTAAAGAACACATGATGATAGAACTGTTTTCTATATTTAGTAATTGTTAAATTGTTAAAAAGAACAAAATAAGTTTATACTGTATATAGTTTTCTATGATGAATTTATAAAAATTATGTTTATTTTTTTGTTTTTTGACATGATAACAGTTATAGTACATTTTTTTAAGTATTTCATTGTTGGATTTGTTATCACAACTTTCTCTGCTTTATATATTGATTTGATAATAAAAAAATTTGAGTTAAGATCTAGCAGTTTAAGTAATTATTTATACTCAAATTAATTCTTATTGTATTTCTGCACATATAAGAGCATGTTTTTATAGATGGGGCAAAATTGGCAATGTATTACACAAAGTATCTAAAAATTTACTATTTAAAAAACTTTTATAGTTTTTCATTTATTTTTAATTGAAGCAGGACATATTTCAGAGAGCTTACTCTTATTTATGCAGAAATATATGTTAAATATTTCATATGATTGAACTGTATGTTTAATACACAATTTGTTTTTGTTCAGAATATAATCAAAATATTGCCAGATTTTTTAAAAATGACTTTATACTGCAACTAAATTGATAATAAATTAATTTAATGTGTTAGAGTATAAAAATATGTTCTTTAACAACACCAAACTTACATTAACAAAAAACCGAACTGTCTTTTGACATTAAACTTTACTTACAAACAAGTGTTTTCTACATTTCAAAAATCCACTTCTGGTTGAGTGTATACTATTCAAATTACAGTTTTTTAAAAAGTATGTTAAAAGATTGCAAATGCACTATTTAAATCATAGCATGTAGTTTTTATGTAGTTACATAGTTAATGTTAGAGACAGGCAATATTGTCATTTCATAAAACTTCAATACTTGAATGATTTCAAATTTAATTTAATAAGCTAAAAAACTAACTAAATTAATATTGTAATTCTATAAAATAGTAATGTTTATTTCAAAGTACTTGGATCACTTCATCATATAAAAATAATAATCTAGTTAATAATCAATGTAAATAAATATGTTCTTTTTTAAAATAAATTATAGCAAAAGAAAAATAGTGTTAATTTATATTAAAAAATTTAAAAACTAAGTATAAGAAAAGCAAAATGCCAGCAATAGATGTACAGTACTTATCCTGATTAAACTATATATGTAGTTGCCAACTTTTAGAATAATAAATTCTGAACACTTTCTTTTAAAACACTTTTCACCCTGTGGGCAATAAGAGAGCCTTTTATCAAAACTGAGCACATTAAAAATTTAAATACTAAGTACAATAAAAAAAAAAGTTATATATTGTAAAATGTGATGATAAAAGATCAATTTTTAATCTAAGAAAAATATATTAGTATAAAATTGAAATAAAATGCTTCAAGTATATTTTTAATATTGCAAAAACATTCTTTTAAATGTAACTGACATTACAGTATTATAATATAATATAACCATTATACCCAAGGAAAGAAAATATTAAAATTACGTGGAATATATTTTGTACACTTGTGCTTTCTCCTATACTTGTTATATGAGTGGCACATATTGTTTACAAGACATTTCCTATATCATCATTAAATAAATGAATATTTTTCAACCACAATTGTTTGTATTAATGATCATTTGCCATTTTAAAATTTCTAATTAGTCATTGTTCTTTGTTGTCTGACTTCCATATGTACAGTGCATATTTCCTATAAATCATATGAGTAGCTATTATGTGATAATGATAGATATTTGATAAAACATCTTTTATTTCAAGTTTGATTATTAATCTATACAGTGGGTGATTGGTTAATGAACAGTTCGGACAGCAAACAAATCAGATAACACACTTTTGCGAAAGATTTTTATGTTTGAACAACAGAACAAGCACGAAAAGAAGTGGCATTAAATAATGAATACCGATTTGTTTTCCCTTGTCTCCAGGTAACAATTTGAAACTTTTCAGAGTGCGGGAGACACTCAACCTGATACCAATCAGATATTATTCCTCCAAACTTTGAAACTCTCCATTGTAATTTCAGCTTTTTGTTTATCTTTCTGACAAATAATTTTTTATAGTCTTTGTGAGACTGTTGGGCACTCGTTAAGTTTTGTGTCGGTTTTTATTTTCTAAAGGTGAGAGTTTAATAACTGTCCTATCGGATATTCATTAACGATTTAACACCAAAATTTTGAATTTCATTCGTGCCTCACAT